GACAGAACTGAAACTGGCATTTTTTGTCCGAGATTTTCAACTGCGAGTTTTTTATTTTTATTAGTTGATTGATAGTTTCGGCAGTTTTTTTTATAGCCATAGTTTTTTGCAGGTGATTTCTGAGGTAGATGGAAAATGTGTTCAATTTAACAACTTTTCTTTTTACCTGAATTCATTAGCACTCTAGAGCAAGCAGTGGATTTTAACTACAGGTATGCAGTTCAGGATCGGAAGGTCTGGCACAGCTACACTCCGCTTTTGGGAGCATCCTAGTATCCACATTGTTAGTCCGAGCAGTATTGATATTCTTGGTACATTTAGAAAAGAATTTTCCAGCATATTAATGTTATTCTGATACTTCGGGCAAGTATGTTTCTGCGAGGAATGGAAGTTTCTCTAGACGACGAGATTTGGACGGCTTGTTATTGAAAAACCAGGGCACGCAATTTGCCATCATCGGTGGCTGCAAAGTCCTGTACCAAGATATGTGCTAAATCCGAAAGCCAGGCGCGGCGAACTACTCTCAACCGCCATCGGTCGTACTGATTGTTTCATCGTATCATGCCTTCAGAATTTGTCCGAATAGCCAGTTCCTGTTTCGCAGGAAAACAAATATTGGCGAACGACATTCAGCGCTAATCAGACAAGCATCGTAAGAACGACTACTAAAGGGAACGCATTTTTGACAGCCGACCTCAACTAGCCAACTACATACAGATTCTCGAAGCGGAAGCGGGCGATGCGCACAGCGCTCATCTTGGCTGTTCATTTCAAGCATGGCGAATGGTCATTCGAGCCCGTGGATGCTTCAAAACACTTCGAATTGAAGCTGTCACTATCGTCGCTCTCATAATACAGTGCAAAACTATTTCAGCAACAGAGACTGACCTGTGTCTTCAGTGTTTGCTACGATGGGTTTTTGTCTGCCTTCATGATGCTTGGATGGTGACCGTTGGGCTTGCATGCTTTACAGAAAAAGGGGCGCAAAACGGGCAGCCGTTTGTTTTACGAAGAAGCAAGTCATTGGTTATTTGGCGAGAAAGAGGGCAGAAGACAAGTAGGCGAGGAGCGAAATCTCGCTTAATTGTGGAGGTTGTGTGACTAAATCTCGGAACACCGAATAATAGACTGATTAACTGGACAATCAGTCTTTCATAAAATTCAGGTGTAAATTATTAAATATATATAGCATAAAACTCAGTTTTAAGTGGTCCTGTGTAGGACGTTTCAAGCACATTTTCCCTTTTAAATTTTAGAAAGAAGATGCAGCAGATAAGTTCAAAAATAAGGTAAATCTGGCGGTATATATTGAAGCACAGTGCGGCGACACCTCACGATTCGTCCACCGGCAGCTGCTACCAACATGGGAAAAGCTCTCGGTCACAAACAGGATTTCGTTGAAAATTGTTCCATTTGGCAAAGCGACGTGCCAACCGACTGGCGATGACTACAGGTATCCGATCTGTTTGCTTGTCATAACTAAATCCAGAAGAATGCGACATCATGTTGCTCCCCATGTTGGTCACTCATCACGAATTTTAATGCTTGCGAAAAATAATGAAGTCGGTTTGGATCACTGGTGCGCTGCTTCACTTGCTAGTTTCAATTTTCCATCGGGATAGATCTGCGACTCGTTGAGAGGCTGATTTTCGCAGTGCTTGTCGTGAGATGCCATTCTGACTGGGTTATTTGTCTCAAACAGCATTCATGAATTTTTACACCGCTCTCTACCGCTTCCCTGTTGATCAGAGCTTTATCACTCGGCTGTATAAGCGGCCGCAGCAGAGTGTGTTTTTACGCATTTTTTGCAGCTATGCAATGCAGAAAACGCATGTTGACGAGGGGTTGTCTGTGTGTGTGTCTGTGTGTCTGTGTATGCGTCTGTCACGGTTTTTCATCTCAAGACCTACAAAAGCTACAGGGCTGAAACTTTGGGA